CAAACCGTAACAGTCCCTGAGGTTGTTATTACCGATAAGCAACCAAGCGAAGAGATTATAGGCGATGAGTCGAATTTGAATCTTGAGTCAGGGAATGGCTCTGAAGAACTCAAGCTTGAAGAAGCTGCTACAAAGGTTCAATCTGCTTTCAGAGCTCATCAGGTGATTCTTCTACTACATTCTATTCTAGTATAGATTTTTTTGGTCGAATTTTGCTGATACTCTGTTGTTTTCGTTAACTCTTGAAGGCTCTTGGAGAATTGCAAACACTTAAAGGTATTGTAAAGCTGCAAGCTGTTATCCGTGGTCATTTGGTTAGAAGACAAGCTGTTGCTACTTACTCAAGCATTTGGGGAATTGTGAAGTTTCAAGCACTTGTTCGTGGGAAGAATGCTAGATGTTCAGACACCGGGGTTCAATTTCAGAAAACTAATACGGTATTTAATGTCTGTTAGTGTATACGTTTCACGTTGATAACCGATATTCGATTTTTGCTTTCAAATCTGTAATCTCTTTGGTCTATTTAGGAAACTGAGAATTCTGAAACTTTGCAAGGAAGCACATACAGTTGGCTTGGAAATCCCACAAAGCTCTCCATGATTGATAAGGTAACATCAACATTTTTATAACCGATCCTGCAACGTGCTCTTGATTTATTTGTTTCCCTGACTTTTTCAGATTCTGGTTTCGTCACCAACGACATCGCCTCTGAAGATCCAATATGGTCCTGAAGATCCTAACTCAGCCAGGATGTGGGTTGAACGCTGGACGCATTTGCGAGTTTGGGCTCCTGGTCCACTGGTCATTAAGAGTCTGGTATCAAAACCTCAGACAAAGAAGCGAAGTTTCCAAGCAGTTGAATCGGACAAGGGAAAACTTAAGAAAGGAGCTATCAAGAAACCATCTGGTGGTTCAAATACTGGAAGTAGCTCTAGTAGCCGTTCTACAGCTGAAAATGAGAAGCCTAAACGAACTGTGAGAAAGGCTTCCACACTTGGTAAAGAGCTTTCAAGAATCGAGAATGACAAGCCTAAGCAGAGTTCAAGAAAAAGTACCAGCGCCATAAAGGAAGGCTCTTTGTTGGAGGTTAAAGATGAGAAGCCTAGAATTAGTCTTAAAAAGGCTCCACTCTCTAATGGGCTAGAGAAACCTACCCGTAAATCGGCTGAGAAGAAGAAAGAGATTGCAAATCCAGTCCAGAAAGAGTTGTCTGGGGACAAGGTTTCAGCCACTGTAGTTGATGCTCCCGAAGAGGAAAAGATGAAAGATTCCCCTGAAACTGTTACGAAAGAAGCTGATCTCGATAAAGATGAGAAATCAGTGGTTCTGGATAACCCGGAGCAAGAGGAATTCAAACCCGCAGAGAGAAGCGATAAAGCTGAAGAAGAGATCCAAGAACCAGACGTGGAGATAAGCTCTGAGAATGGACATGTTGCTTCTGAAAACACAAAGCCAAGCGATAGACGAGCTTCGCTGCCTGCAATGATCGAGAATCATCATCAAGATGATGGACTTGCACATAGCGGACAAAAAATCCCAAGCTATATGGCTCCAACTGCATCTGCAAAGGCAAGAATAAGAGGACAAGGATCTCCAAGAATTACTCTAGAGAAGCCAGAGAAAAACGGGACAACACGGCGCCATTCTCTTCCTCCTGCGGCAGCCAATGGTAAGCTGAGTACAATGTCTCCAAGAGCCCACAGACTTCTCATAGCTTCAGCCAAAGGATCAATGAACAGTGACAGATCTTTTTCGTCTTCCAAGGACATTGGTGGTAAAAATTTAAAGCTTTCTATTATATACAAGTTTCTTTTAATGTTTGCACTAAAACCTACAGTCGTCTAACACATTTTTTGTTCTTGTTTATTTCAGAAAAATCAGGGAAAGCTGAATGGAAACGGTGAAAGAGAAAGCAATCCGTAGAGTCATTCTCATCAATCTTACACTGTTGAACAAAGCTCTGAATCATTTAACGGTTTTTTTATCTGTTTTTCTGTGTGT